CAGGGTGCCGGGGGGGGGGTAATGCGCACTTACCCCGAGACCCCTCCCTTCCCTGCCGGGAAACGGTCTGTGAGATGGCCAGATGCTCTTCACCTCTTCATTTTGACATCTTTTTATTATTATTATTTATTTATTTTTATTTTTTTTTCCCCCCTTTCCTCCCCTAAATTCTGGTTGCTGCACCTCAGTGCCCAGGCCGGAGCCAGCTGTGCCAAATGTTGATTTGGAGAAAACTCAGGCAGCTGAGTTGTGAATACTTGAAAATTGGAACTAGAAACTGCTGACACACTGCCTTAGTGAAGTGGATTTTGTTCTTCATTTTATTCTTTCGCTCCTCATCTGCAGTGGTCTTATGACCGCTCTTATTGTTTTGTTTCATTAACAAGTGGTGTCAGAAGTCTTGAGTCATACAAGGTCAGCTATGACACGTTACTCTTGAGCAGGCTTCCTCTGTATGTTATTCCAAAATACTTGAGTTTTAGTCCCTGCCTCAGCTGAGAATCTCATCCTACCCCTTTTCTCTGGGATGAAGTATTTATGGTTCATATTCCGAACAGCGTATTTGAAAGTTGGAGTGGAAGTTGTGGTGGTTACAGATACTTGCGTGTAGTAAAATCCTTTTTGATCCCTCTCGACGAACTCGGTTGTGGAATTTCTATAAAGATTCCTACAAGGATTCTTGTGTTCCCGGCTTGCGCAGAACTTGAGCAGTTACATCTGCCAGACATCTGAGGCTCCAGGATGTGAGAATAACAATGATTTTTTGAGTATGGCCGTTAATTTCAACAACATCGGCAACAACAAAAACATTCTTTGTCCAGCTGGAGTTTTGCCCGCTCTCCTTCTTGGGGGACTCCCTGCGCTGTGCTGACTTTGCACCGCCGCCGCCACGGGTGAAGCCTTAGGTGGGTCAGTTGTTGCGGGAGATGGAAGGTTCTCCACCCCTGGGAAGGAGGACGGATGAGTCAGAGGAGGAGCAGCGAGCGAGGATCGCGCTCTTCCCCGAGGAGCGGGTGCAGGAGGAGGGAGTCCCTCTGCTCGCTCCGTAGCTGGAGTGGGTTTGTTAAGCGCTCGTCTCGCTTCGCTGTGGGGCTTCAGGGCTTCTCTTGGGGCGTCGTAGCTGGGGTCCTCCGAAGCAGTAGGTCTCCAGCCAGAGATTTTAGAAAGGAAGGTGAGGTGATGCAGTGTGGGCTTCCAGCTCCGCTTTGGATTACGCTCTCAAGGTTCACTTTGGAACCATAAGGCCTAGAAGTGAACTTCAGAAGCAAAAAGGAAAGCTGAGCGTACAGCATCATCTCATGGCTTGATGAGTTGGAGTCCTCAGCAAGTGCTTTGTTTCTTGGGACTCGAGCTAGCACCAGGTCTCCCAGGGACTCTGAAATACCAAATTTTGTTAGTGGGCAGGAGACCAGTTGCTGGTAGTGATGGAAGGGAGCTTGCGGGGATGCGTTTCTTCCCAGTTTTATCACATTTTCAGTGCTAAAGAGCACACGTAGGGAGGTGTTGGTTGCTATCTTGAACCGAAGCGAGGAGGTGCGGTCACCTGTTTTTCCCTGCACCTTCCAACTGGATGTGGACGTGTCTTTTCGGAAAGCTGCTTTTTTCTTTTTCCCCCCCCCCCCCATGAGAGGTGGCGTTTGGGAGGAGGGTGGGAAGGAGGGCTGCTGGTGCTGCAGCCCCGGGAGCTGACGGAGACGATAGGAGTTGGCCCTTGACCACGGTGTGGATTCTGAACCTCAACAAATCTTGTAGCGAAGGCAGCGCATCCCTCTGTCTTGAAGCATCCTTTTTTCCTCTGCGTGACCTGGAAATAGCAGCTGATGAAATAGCTCTCCGGCTGGCCAGTGGTATATACACTGAGTACAGTGTATTTTCCTGATGTAGTATCTGTATTTTCTTTTGCTTTGTTTTGTTACCTCTACCTCACCCTGTTGTATGTGAGAGTCAGTAGCTGCAGTACTTTCTGCTTAACCTTTCTTGCCGTGGGTTCCAGCAAATAAGTATGTGCGTTTGCGCATCAGAGACTGGACGTTTTCCTATTTTAAAACGTTCGCTTGAGGAAACTGGATACGTTTGGGGCTGATTACAGCTTTCTGCAATCAGAAGTTTAACATTTCGCATTCTAATCCTTGCCTTTTGTTGTTCTTGGCTTTCTTCTAGGCTACGGAGAGCTGAATGGTAACGCAGGAGAAAGAGAAGTGTCGTTAAAGGGCCTGTGCTCCGATGAAACCACCACCCCAGGATCCAGGGTACCCAATGGCAGCCAGCAGCTTGTAGACACTAACGTCACCCCAAAGCAGACTGTGAAGGCCGGTGCTTTGGGGAAAGCTGGAATCAAACCCAAGAACTTCATTCAGAAAAATAGCATGGACAAAAAGAATGATAAGTCCTATGAAAACAAACTTAGAGAAAGCCAGTCCTCAGACAAGCCAGAGGGAGTGTCTATCCCAAACGGGGTGGTAACCAATAATTCTGGCTATATCACGAATGGCTACGTAGGCAAAGGGGCCGATAACGATGGTAGCGGCTCCGAGAGTGGATATACTACGCCTAAAAAACGGAAAGGCAGGCGCAACAGTGCCAAGGGGTGCGAGAACTTGAATCTAGTACAGGACAAAATAATGCAACAGGAGGTCAGCGCACCAACCTTAAAACAGGAACTTGAGAGTTTCAAGCCCGATTATAGTGAACAAAAGGGGAACCGAATTGAACATGCTAAGCCCGTTTGGAAATACGAGGCTGGGGCTGGTGGAGCAGGCCGGGGAAAGCCTGGGCTTGGGGATGTACAGCGAAAAAACTCTGATGCCAAACCTGGGATTAGCAGCAAGAAGTTTGATGACCGGCCCAAAGGGAAGCACGCGTCGTCAGCTACGTCTAAAGAGGACTCATGGACCTTATTTAAACCACCCCCGGTTTTTCCAGTGGACAATAGCAGTGCTAAAATTGTTCCCAAAATAAGTTATGCAAGTAAAGTTAAAGAGAACCTCAACAAAGCAGCTCAAACCCCATCCACATCCTCTTTGTCGTCTTCGTCATCTGCTGGGGAAACTCAGGCCCAAACATCCAGTCGGCTGTCCCAAGTCCCCATGTCCGCTATGAAATCTGTTACTTCTGCTAGCTTCTCCAACGGGCCCATTCTGGCAGGGACTGACGGAGGTGTCTATTCTCCAGGGACCCCGCCACTGCTCTCCGCTGCTGCTAGTACTGTCCCGTCAACCGCTTGTGAGTCGGTACCCCAGGACACGAGTACAGCTTCAACAGCTCTCGAACAAAAGAAATCTAGCCTTTTCATCTACCCTTCAAATATGCAAACTGTGCTTCTGGGTCCAGCGCAAGTCGATTTCCCGGCGCAGGCGAATCAGCAGAACCTGGGAGATATCTTCCAGAATCAGTGGGGCTTGTCTTTCATAAACGAGCCCAGCGCCGGACCCGAAACTGTCGTGGGGAAATCTGCGGATAATCAGTTAATGGAAGTGACATTTCAAGGGGAATATCCTGCCGCTTTGGTTTCGCAGTGTGCTGAAATCATTCCCTCAGGAACTGAACAACCTGTGTTTCCTAAGGCTTATGAGCTGGATAAACGGACTAGCCCTCAAATTCTTAGTGCTATTCTTAAGCCTGGGACTGCTGTTGAGGGTGGTGTCTTAGCTTTGGAGTCGCACCACACGGGTGACCTACAAAAGGCAGACACCGGTAGCCAAGGTGCTTTAGTGTTTCTTTCAAAAGACTATGAAATAGAGAATCCTCTGGCCTCTCCCACGAACAATTTGCTAGCCTCCGCCAAAGAACAGAGGTACCAGAGAGGCCTAGAAAGGAAAGATAGCTGGGGTTCTTTTGACCTGAGGGCTGCTATTATATATCACACTAAAGGTAATGGCTTAACTTGCTGCCTAAGGGCGCTCTCTTCTCTTTTTTGTTCTTTTTTTTTAAAGTGCAATATTCTAACGCGATCTATTCCTTACAGCAATTCTGGTTGTTTTAAAAATGAGCTTTTTTGCTTACATATCTCTGATGGCAGTAACAGTTTGGGAAAGTTATTCAAGTAGTTGTTTAATTAATGTTAAGAGGTATTTGTTTCCCTGTTCCTGTGGGCAAGCGTAAGCGATGTTGACAGGGATGAGACTTGGCTAGTGAGTGTGGTTTACATTTTAATTCCTATGGAACAAGCAGGTCCTCCTCAGTGCTGGAAGGAGTTAAATGTGTAGGTTCATCTGCTCTGTTCCAGCTTTACCAGGTGATATTCTGTCACTGAAAAGGCTCCATAGTCCCCACTCACACCTCTGCCACCAAAGTGTTGCAGCCTCTCCTCAGGGCAGATCAGGCCATGAAATCATGGCTTTGAAGGAAGAAAAAAAAAAAAATCATTCCTATGGCTTTTCATGGTGTGATTTTTATTTTATTTTTTATTTTTGAGTAATGCCCACCCCCCACCCCTGCTTTTTCCCTGCCCTTCTTGAGTATTGTGGCAACAGCAAGACAAATCTCTGCTTATCAACTCTTCTGTAAGCTGCAGATTGAATTCTCTCATCTTTGTAGGCCAAATCTCTCAGATGATTTTATTGCTTTCATGGAGTCCTTTGTAGCCCAGCTCCTTTTTTTTTTTTTTCCCTGTTTTGTTTTTTTTTTCTTCTTGAGACTGAAATGACTCAAACACGATACAGACGCTTTAAACTGGGAACGAAGAGAGGGAAGCCTGTGGGATGGCTTGCTTTCTGCTTTAGCCTCAGCCCCAGAAGCTCTGAGGTCTTGTGGCAGTTCTTGGCTTTTGGTCCTGCCTCGGTGTTAACAGGAGCCAAACTGTGTGTTCTGGAACTGTGTTACTTACCTACCCCTGAGGAACGCAGGGGCAGTTCCTTCTTTATTCGCCCCCTCTCCCTGCCTGCCCCTACCGTGAAGGGAAAAAGGTGATCATTTTTTGTACACTGTTCCACACAGGTACCTGGATAATGTCTTGCTCCCCTCTGCAGAGGGGTTGGTATTTGATTGGCATTGGCAAATTTGCTGTATTTTGACCCACTGCAAAGTTCTTAAATTACCCGTTCACAAACTCTCTGTATAGCATAAAGAAACTTAGATGTCTTCCTTTAGTAACAGCAAGCCCAGTCATTTAAAAATAATAACTCTGAATATTTTTTTCAGGTCATCTCGCTCTCACGATGTTAACATCTTAAGCTCTAGTATTTGTGCGAACAGCGTTCATCAATTGATTTTATCTGAGTCCGCTACCTAGTCTGTTCCACTATTAAAGCAAGCCTTCCGCTCTCATTTCGTGTGCCTGCCAGCAGCCTAAATCTCAGTTTCCCATCAGAAAATGGGGGTACCAGAAGGCATAGCACGGTCTTAAGTTTGCAAATATTCCCAACGCTTAAGTTTGTCTCTCTTTGGTTTTCTCAGCCTGAACTTTCTTGTAGAAATGCAACTCATCAGCTCTCCCTTTGTCACTAGCTGTGTGAAAGACAGACCCCAGTAAAACAATAGTAACAACAGGAAAATAAAGAACACTCCCTTCCCATGGCCTCTTAAGGAGGTGTTAACTTCAAAGTCTGGCTGCTTTTAGTTCTTCTAAACAGAGGAGTTAATTACATTTGGTGGCAAGAATGGACACCTAAAGCACTCTGTGAAATGCTGGTTTCTGCTCTTTCTTCTGTGAATGCGCTGGCTTTGAGCTGGCTTTGAGCATCCTTAGCGAGCACCCTTGTGATGCCCTGGGGAAACATGTTCCTGCCCCACCACTCCTCATTTTTCAAGCTGTATCTGTGCCAACTTCAAGGTGTTAGTTAGGGGTAAAAGATAGGGGATGTTTCCAATCAGTGTTGTCATGAATGCAGTGACAGGGGTGCTCCAAACAGCTTGAGCTTGTATTTCTCCTACTTAGTCTTCAGGTGCTATTGCTGGTTTACAGAGATCGGTCCAGGTCTTGGCGCGTCCTCTGTGATGATGTTGGGTGTTGGATTTGCTGTGTGCGTTCAGGTCCATCGGGGTGAGCTGGGCTAAGGGCTGTTGGGAGGAACGGTGCCTTCCTCTGCCCCACGCAGGTGACAAACGCCGTCCCCTCTTCATGGCCATGATCCTGCAGCCAGAGCCCGGTGGGTGAGCTCCTGTGGCACAGCAGATCATCTGAAAAACACAGCTGCCAGGGTGTGTGTGCAGGACAGCAGTGCAGCGGTTCATTCCCACACCATTCTCTCCATTTATCTTGGGCTCTTTTCCTGAGGTCCTACTCCTCGCCAGCCGGTTCCTCTGCAATAGGAAAGGAACGATTTCACTCGCTTATTTTTCACAAGCTGCCTTCCCCTCCTCCCACTCGGGAGAGGTTTGCCTGGGCCGGTGTGAGGGTGTCCTGGGCCACTGGATCCTCGGATTGTTTGGTTTTGATTTCGAGAGAAGGGTGAACTTCTCCCTCTTCAGATTGATCTGTTTGCTTTTGAGCAAAGTCTCGATCGTTTGATCTTCAAATCTGCCCTGCCTCTGGGGTTATGGACACAAAGGGAACTGATTGCGGGGCCAGGATGGGGGTGAGTGTGGAGCACTGGTGGGGTCAGTGCCTCGAGCTCCTCCATGTGTGGTAGTTAGTGCAAACTACCCGTGGTGTGGGGATGATGCTTTGGGTGTTGCAGGACCGGGCTGTAGCATGGCATCATAGAATGGTTTGGGTTGGAAGGGACCTTAAAGGCCATCTCGTTCCACCCCCTTGCCCTGGGCAGGGACACCTCCCCCCAGCCCAGGTTGCTCCAAGCCCCGTCCAACCTGGCCTTGAACACCTCCAGGGATGGGGCAGCCACAGCTTCTCGGGGCAACCTGCCCCAGGGGCTCACCACCCTCGGAGTGAAAAATTTTTTCCTAATATCTAATCTAAATCTACTTTCTTCCAGTTTGAAGCCATTCCCCCTCGTCCTATCACTCCATGCCCTTGTAAAAAGTCCCTCCCCAGCTCTCCTGTAGCCCCTTTAGGGACTGGAAGGCGGCAATAAGGTCTCCCCGGAGCCTTCTCTTCTCCAGGCTGAACACCCCCAATTCTCCCAGCCTGTCCTCACAGCAGAGGTGCTCCAGCCCCCTGATCATCTTCGTGGCCCTCATCTGGCCCCGCTCCAACAGGTCCATGTCTTTCCTACGGTGGGGGCTCCAGAGCTGGATGCAGTACCTCCAGGTGGGGGTCTCACCAGAGCAGAGGGGCAGAATCACCTCCCTAATTGAACGTGAGCTGTTGCAGTGCTTTGACTGGTCTGTAGCCGGTTTGCACCTTTGGTTGTGCTGCTCGCTTCTGTAGCTGTGACCAGGTTGTGCAGATCCTCGTCTTGGACTGTAAATAGGCTGTGGGAAAGCCTTCAGCTTACTCAGTAGCTTTGCCCCAGCAAACCAGGCTTTCCTGTGCCCGGTGACTGCGAGGGGCGTTAATAGGTTGTAATTGCTTCACAGCATCCCTGGGAAAGGCTGGATGGAGGAGGTAGGACACAGGGTGGGCTTGCTCTGGCACAGTAATCCTGTTCAAACCACCGCAGCGCCCTGCGTGGCGGCAGGGCTGTGCCGGGGTGTGAGGCTGGGTGGCTGCGGAGCGGAGCGAGGTCCTGGTGGAGGACGCCGTGCTCGCTTGCGCGTGCCCAGATTGCTTTTTCCCCAGAAGTCAGGGCACTGGGAGCGTGCTGGCAAGGCTGACGATGCGCTCTCCTGTTCTTCTCTTGGATGCTTTTTGTGCGGGGGTTTGTTTTTTTTTTTTCTCCTTTTAAAGGGCAGAAAGACTCCCGTGATCATCTGATCTGCTTGACTGTGAAACGCGATCCTTCAACGTGGCTGCCTTCATTGACAGGCCGTGCCGCTCGGGGTTTGTGACAGTGCCTTGAGACACTCGCGGGTGCCATACCTGATTTAGCAAGGTGGATGTGATTCGGTTGAGCGTTGGTGGACCTACGGTTTGTGTGGTTGGAGACGGGGATGGTAGCTTAGTACAGGAGATTGGAAAGACCAGGAAGGGGTGATGCTCTCGCCTGGGGACATTGTCGCTATCTAGGTTAGAACTGAACCTCTGCCTCTGTGTGGCATTGCCAAAATCATCATCTTTTGGAGGTAAAACTGGTCCTCGCAGATTTTTTTTTTTATGGTCCTTCAAAAGAGGAGGGTGGGTGTATATCAGCTTTACTTCTGTTGAAATCAGTATCTTCTTGCTGCTTTAGTCGTCCTTTTAAAGACAGCTGGATGAAACATTTCATATCGGAATAATTGTCAACGCTTTGCAAAATTTCGTCATGTTTGGGCAGTTGCAGTCTTCCAGTCCGGGCTGTCTGTCACTAACACCACGCTCTATGTCAAGCCTTGTGGTGGGAAGCTCAGTAGTTTGCTTGTTCTTAGCTAAAAAGCAAATAATCGAGGTCTCCGGTTCAGCTGTGCAGTAGCAAAGACCACATAAGTGGGGGAGAGGAAACTGCAGTGTTTTCCCTCTTGTTTTGCCCCGAAGTTTCTGCCTGTGCCGCTGCTTTGTTCCTTCTCAGCATCTCGGTTGCGCCAGGATCTCTGCTCGCATGAAGAAGCAGAAGAGCAGCATGGAAAATAGAGCGAGGCGGCGTGGGCCAGCCAGGAGTGGCGTTCGCCGGAATGGTGAACTGGGTCAGAAGAAAAAGCAGAGCTGTGAATTCAGCATTTTTCATCCTTTACATCAGGAGAGGGGAGAAAAAAAAAAAAGAGGCGCCTTGGTTTCCCATCCCCCTTGGTAGGAAGGGGTTAGATGTCAGTCTGTTGCTTATGGTCTTGTGGGGCCGAAGCTGATTTAATTCTCCTTCAGCTCTCTGCTTCTTACAGTTGTCACGATGAGTACAGTGTGTTTGGTACAGCAGTGAGTCTCCACGGCATTGAATTTTTATTCTTTGCTTTGTTTCCGGGGCAATCCCCTAACTTAATCAATGTGTCCTGCAGAAGGAAACAGAAAAATCAGACAAGAAAGGTCCCTCTTTGTTATTTTTTTTCCAGCTTTTCATTTTAGGGACAATTGTCAGTTTATACGTTAGATTTATAAGAACAAAGAACTAGTACCGTGGCATTGTGCAGATGCTTGTGTTTGCAGGGGCAGCCTCTCTAGCAAGGAAAATGTGTGTAAAAGTCTCTGTCTTAACAAGTTATCACTGAAAGACTTCTTTTCCCTCCAAGGTTATGTACCAGTCCTGCTATAAAGTTTATTGACCTATGAAGAATCTCACCGCAATTCCCGAGCGTGGCTTAGTCTGTTCCTGACATCAAAGCCTTCCTCCACCAACTCTTTGTTTTGGTGATAGTCCCCAGAAAAAGTCGTTCCTCTCCCTGGAGCTCGTTAGGTGGATGTTAGGCTGGGGCTGTCTGCCCTGGGCGGTTCCTCAGCAAACCACGAGCCGGAGGACGATGGAGAGGGCAGCTAATTATAAAAAAAATCCTGGAAAACGTGAGGTTGGAAGGGGCACAGGAGGTGACCCAGTTCTGCCCCTGGCTCGGAGCAGGGCTGGCTTTGACGCCGGGTTGTGCAAGGGTTTGTTGATGGCGTTTTCTCCAGCTGGGTTGGAGTTTGCTGAGAAGGAAGCGTGCCGTTTCCCCGGCCACATGTCCTCTTTTGGGAATAGTAGCCCCTGTCTGTTGGTCAGGTCTTGACAACCTTCCACTTTGGAAAGTGATGGTACAAGGTTTTGGGTCAGAATCTGAGAGGTGGACTGAGATTCCTGGTGAGGATACTCCTTTTCCCATGAAGGGGTGAACGATGGTGAGAGTCCTTGCTTGAACTCGCCCTGGAAGCTTTATCCAGGGAAAGCAGGCTCAATAACAGAGCTGCTTGAGCCCAAGGAAGGAGTTTTGGGGCGTCTTACACGACCAGCTCGTGGGGGCTGCCCTCTCGTCCACCGTGCATCCCTGAGCATTTACGGCTCTGGTTAGCTGGGACCAGGGCTTGTGCAGCGGTGGCTCTGCCGACGGCCAGGTCGGCCACTGAGGTCTGTCCAACCACTGATGCTCATCACAGCATCTCAGGATCAGCTTAGGTGACCCCAGCCTGTAACCGATCCAGAACCAGGAGGAAAACTCACTCTAATGTATTACAAAGTAAAGCAGAATAAATCATAAATTCCATCTTAAGATTGAAGGAAAACCTTTTTTTTTTTTCTTCCTGGTTTTGTGTCGCAGTTAGCCCAAAACTTAATTTTTTTCCTCTGTGAAGTTGTTTCGGTGGGTAAATGTGCGTAACCTGTGCTATCCCGTATCCATGTGCTGCTGGCCAGGTAGAGAGAGGGGAGGACCTTGCTCTTGCTCTTCAGATGGTGGGTGATATTCAGTAACGGTCGGTATCGCAGCCAGTTTGCCGATGGTCTTTGTTTTTGTAGCTCCGTCAGGCTGAGCATCAGCCAGCCAATGTCTCCAGGTGTTTGGGGTTTGCAGGACACCGTACACCACCCTCTCTCCTTCCTCTTTCTGAGGAGAAAGAAGATTGAAGTCTGAAAAGGTTCGAGGGTTTGGGTGTTGCTTTGTTAGGGTATTTTGAAATAGAATTTTGACAACTTGAAAGTTTTTTGGTGTGTTTTTGATAGTTTCTCACTGTCTGTCTATCAGGTACATCTTAATACGAGCAGTTCACGCTCTCATGGCATCCGATGAAATTCGGACCAAATGGAAGCGCCAAGGAAAGCGTGGTCTTTTGCACGGAGATAGAATAGCAGCGCTTCAGCCTCTGCTGTCTATTTTATGCTCTTAACGTTGCTCTAATGCGGAGGAACCAACAACTTGAGAGTAGTTGTGCCCTGCCTTTGGGGAAAGCTGTTAAAATAGCTGATGTTCGTTTAGCGGTTAGGAGACGATGCATCCGACTTCACTGAATGGAAAACTAGCTCCGCGGGAGGTAATTTTAGTAGCTGGTTCGTTTTACTTCTGGGGAATCTGCATCTGGCGGATGAGGGAGGTAGTCCCTCGCTGGGTTGCCTATATCCCCGGGGGTGTTAGAGGCTGGTTACTATTCCCAAAGCACTTCGGGCTCCCCCGATGAAAATGCAAAGTCTTGCTGTTGTTACCAGGATGCAAAAATAACAGACCTCGTAAAATTTTGTCGGGGCCTCCCTTACAAAAGACTTTAATTGCGCAGAGAGGGCTGGCGATATTTATTTGCGTGCAATTTCCTGCCCCGGGGAGCTTGAGATTGTAGCGGACAAAGGAGAGATGAGGTTGGAGAAGGGACGTGAAGGTGGAAGCGATGTGACGAGGTGACACTTGGCACGCGTCGTGCTGAGGCCGTGAGTTCTGTAGGGTTTTTCCTTCTTCCTTTCCCATGCCGGTGAGTTTACTTATTGCCTTGTTTTGTGCTTTACTGCACCCACCGTGTAGCTCCGTAATCCATCACCGTTCTCCATTCCTAACCCCTACCGAGGTCCTGTCACCTTCACTTCTTTCAAGTCTCTCTTCTGCCAGATTGGTCTTGCAGGTTGGGTTCCTATGCTCCTTTTCTGTAATTCTGTCTCCTAAACTTGGGCGCAGGGTACAGTTGGTGTCTTTGTAAATATTCTCGCTCACAAACTTCCAACTTGATGATGGCTAAATGTAGTTATTTTCAACAGGTCTCTAAAGATGGGACTTAATTTGGGGGATATTTTAAAGGGAAGAGCCTCTCGTTTCTTAATGTGAATGAAAAGAATGAAAAGAAAATTTAACTTTGCTGTTATTTCTTAGGTAAACAAAAGCACGTGCTCTTTCAGCAAAAATTGGGGAGGGTTTGTTTGTCTTTAAGCCCTCAAGTGCGTCGCAGGGGCAAACTGGGGAAAGAGCTGCCAGCCCAGCAGGCGGCCGGGTGCGTGGAGCATCGCACCTTGTTCTGGGGTGCTGCTCGTCGAGGCCGTAACGCGTGAAGTGGGAGTTGGAATACCAAACCCACAAGTTAGAGCGTGATTTGTAGGAGCGGAGAACAGCAGCCACGTTTCTGATGCTCGGTTTGGCCGTTTCACCTTTAAAACCACGTTACGGCCACCCCTCTGCCTCCGACTGCTGGATCATTCATGTCAAATTCGTGCAGTCCCGCGGCTTGGGGCTGTGCTGCTGGGCTGGATGGGGTTGGCTGTGTCCGAAAGCCTCAGCGCAACTGCAGCGGTGTGGTGCCACGCTTGGAAAATTAAAGCGTGGCTGGAGTTGTCTCTAATGGCAGTCTAAATCTGCATAGTAGTAGTAATAATAATAATAATAATAATAATGGTCTTCTCGTTTTGCCTCCACAGAAATGGAATCGGTTTGGAATTTGCAGAAGCAAGGTAAGGATGCTGGAAAGAATAAATTAAGCAAATTGCTCTGTCCTGCTCTGTCTGTTGGGACGGGTGTTGAGAGCAGGTTGTCTTGGTGTCCAGAGATGCCCGAGCGTCTGCTGTTGGGCTGTAGTTGGGGTTTATCTGTGCTGTGCATCACTAAAGTCAGGACAATAAGTTTTACCATAATGGTGGGGGGTTCAGAGAGGGGTGGGTTCACTAAAAGAGCAATAAAACCAGTGACAAATTAGATTTAACGAGCCTTCTTGTTGCGTATACAACAATTGCTTTCCATTTCTGTCGTTGGGTGTCACGCACAAGAAGTTTTAAATTCCGGTGTATCCCCACACTCTGCCTGTGAGGATGTCCCGTGGCAGCCCGTGGGGTTGAGCGGTCGGCGGAGAGCTGCTGCTCCCCGTGGCCGTGGTGTGGGGCGCAGGCGTAGGGTCCGCCGGGGCTCCCGGGGGCGTTTGCGGGAGGTGGACAACACGGAGGGGGGGGAGGGGTCCTAAGGAAAAGTTTGTTAACGGCCGAGTACTTTGCAGATCTCTTCTGAATATCTTCAGCCACGGGTCCTGAAAGTCACTTGTTTGAAAACTCAAGGGTTTTTTTTTCTTTCTTTCCAGATCCCAAAAGGATAATCACTTACGATGAAGCCATGGATCGCCCGGATCAATGAAGGTAGCAAGACGAGACTGCCTGTTATAACCTTTCTGCAGCATTTGTGCTGTTCGTGGGGGACAAAAGGCTTTTATGCTCCTTCTAATTCTTCAGTGCAGCAGAGGAACCGTAACTAGAATCACAGGATAATATATACAAATATATATATAGTTATTTAAAAATGGCAACTGAAAGTAATTAGACTTCTTAAGGAATCTGAAAATTTATTTCAACGAGACTACACACATGATTATTTAATCTCCGGTACTGAATAGATTTTTTTCGTTTTTGTTTTGTTTTGTTTTTGTTTAAAGAGTGAATGCAAGTGATTAACGCATACAGACTCAATTTACAAGCCCGGTTCTAAAGTTCCTGCTGTCGTCTGCACGGGCAACAGCAACCCACTGGAGAGGCATTTCCACTCGACAAGGTTTCTGTTTCTTGTTCTGTGACTGTAGTGACACACTAATCACAGGGAAATCAGGATGATTCACCATCCTTCATCTCCCCTTTCCCCTCCACCTCCCCTATTTGGTTTTGCTTTTTTTTTTCTTTTTTTCTTCTGTTTTGTTTTCCATTGAATGCTGGAGAAACGCCTTGAAGTTTGCAGAGCTTCTCTTTTTTTTTTCCTTTTTTTTTTTTTTTTTTTTCCAGAGAATTATAATCCGCATGTTTTGCCAGGAGTAAAAGCAGCCAATCCTATGCTGGGGATATTGTCTTAAAAGCATCATTCTTCTGGGGGAAAGATGGTAATACTGCAGTTCTAGGATGCATGGTGAAGTCACACAGTTGACCTGGCTCCGGTTACACGTTGGACTATTATTGCAACTGAAGAGTTCTTTCATTTTAAAAGACAACGTGCAAAAATAAGCAATCTGTTTAGGCATTTAATATGGAAAAAAAAAAAAAGGCAAAAACCCACTGTTCCCACAGTTTAATGCCATTGTATTACTGGGAGCAAAAAAAAAAAAAAGTGTCTTCTGCTTTCAACTGTAGGTGCTTCATATTTGCTCTGTCTGTGTCCTAACACTAAATGTGCCGGATTTTTTTCCCATTTTCATTGGAAAACTGAAGAGGATTGAGTTCTGCTAACTTTCACCCTTCTTGAATTATTTTTTTTCTCTTTAAAAAAAAAAATAAATCAAAATTTAAAAAAAAAAAGGAAAAAAGGAGGAAAAAAAATTAGAAAAAAATAATTAGAAAAATGGGAATTTGAATCCTTTTCAATTTGTCCATGGAACGTCAATGGTTGGGCTTCCCGCACCTGCCCATTGGAAATGCTTTTTTTATATTTTAACGCAGTCTGTGTATTTCCGGGCTCTGCTTCTAAATCTCTCTTAATAAAAATATATTTTATTACAAAAATGGAGGACTTAGGAATGAAAATAATAATTTAAAAATTTAAAAAAAAAATAAATATATATATATAAAAAAAGCGTAGCGCCTCCAAATCATCTTGGGGTTGGGAAGTTTTTCTGGGTTTTTTTTTTTTGTTTTTTTTTTGTTTTTGTTTTTGTTTTTTTAATGGTGGAAAGTTCACAGGGTCCAGTGCATGAGCGAGCAATGAATGAAAGAAAAATGGGTTTTCTGACCCTCCCAAGCTCCACGCGTACCCAGCGTTCATCGTGGGTGTTCGTGGCTGAATACTGCCTAATACACGTCTGGGCATCAAGGTGAGCAGCAGCTGGTGTCTCCTAAAATTACACTGGACCCTATGGGGCATTACAGGAAGCAGATAAGCCCAAAACTTTTGCCTACCACTTGTGCTTAGATTGATCTTCTTTTTTTCTCCTTTTTTTTTTTTTTTTTTTTTTTTTGTTGTTGTTGTTAACTAGGAGTACGTAGCATGCGGGGTTTTTTTTTAATTGTTTTTATTTTAACAAGATCGTTCCCGAATGAGACGCTTAGGTTCATGGTGGGACAACGAAACTTAATTCTGTACCTTTTGTAAGATTGCTAGCTTTCTGCCACACCTCGTTTTAAAAGTTTGACTCTGGATTGCCTACTCCATTTTATGTATAAAATACTATATAGTATAATACCGTAGTGTAATACTATATAGTAATCGTGTATTGTATCAGTCCAGGTTCTCAACGTGTGGTTGGCCAGTCGCAAATACTTCTGTTTCACCTATAAACTGTACCACCACCTTCACGGGTGTGTGTAACTTTCAGATGTATAACATGTTTACAGATGTGCCCGACATCTAGTCCTCCGACGTTCCTATTTTTAATTCTGTTGAGTCTCCCAACTGCTTGCCAAAAGTCGGAATCGCCTCCAGCTCCGCTGCGGAAGAGCTGGGGCATGCCTGAGCTTTAAAGTGTTGAACAAACTGGACGGTGGGACTGGGGAAAATTAAGGTGGAAGAAATGTTCTTTTTTTTTTTATTGTTATTAATTTTCAAAAAGTTGAAGGCCAATAGCAAAGTTTCCAGTTTGTTTTACTGGCTTTAAGGCTCTGCTGTGTATTTGTTTGCCTTGTGTAGTCACTTGTCGCCTTAAGGGCTGAGTTCCATTAAAAAAAAAAAAAAAAAAAGACAAAAAAAAAAGATAAAAAAAAAAAAAAAGACAAAAACCCTGTTTTGCTTACCTGGGGTCTGCGCTGTCCTCGTACCCCCCTGCCCCCAGATCGGCTCTCGGGGCTGGCGCGATGCAGAAGCTGAACAGCAATAACCCGTGCCGAGTCTGACCCTTCCCCGTTAGCACCATCCCCGTCTTGCGGAATATTGGAGGACGCTCGTCTTGGCCGAGTCCGGTCCGTCTTCTAAATCGCGAAAGAAGTCCTGAACGGAACGCGGTTCCACTGATGGGTTGGGGGTTTTTTCCCCCTCCCCGTGATGTTCGTCCCCGCTGCTTTTCCTCGCTGCGCGCAGCCCCTCGCCGGCGGTACCCATCCAGAAACCCCTTCTGCTATCTTTCTGACCATCCTCTCTTCGAATGTCTCTCTGTCTGTCTCCCTGAGCTCCACGGCGTGTGCTCAGCGCTAAGCAAGTTAGGAAATCCTCTCTCTGAGCTCCTGCAGCTCCGGCTCGCCGGCGCAGGCGGTGTTTCTGGGATAGACTATTGCCTAGAGCCAGGCAGGACCGTGGAAGAAACTTCCTCGTGCCGTGGTGTAACTCGCCCTGTCGCTACCTGCAGTCCTCCCGAAGTCCTCACACAATTCTTTACTGAGCACTTATTAAAAATATCTTAAGATTTAATCTGTTTTCTGATTATTTTTGTGTAAACTTATAAAAAAAAAAAAAAAGGAAGAAAAAAAAAAAAACAACCTTGAAATTGAGCTGTGACTAATTTAGCACATTTAAATAATGCTAAGGTGTTATAAGTCTCATGTTTTGGGGTTTTATTTGTTTTGGGGTTTTTTTTTTTGTTGTTGTTGTTTTTGTTTGACTCAGAGTATTAGTACTGTAGCATAAACCAAATACAGCCCGGGAAGGGATGCAGCAGCCTTCTCTCCCGGGTCTGCACCCACGGGTGTCTGTGCGTGCGCGCCGGCGAGGGGCTGGCGGCGCGCGTGCGCGGGCGTCTTACTCGCCGAAGGAGAGCGAGCGCGTATTTATTTGTGCCATTGTTTTCATTACACTGAGTAAAGTTTTAAAACAAAACCCCTTAAAGACGTGTAGTATCGGAAAGTGGCACTAAGGGTGAAATCGCGACCTATTTTTTTATTAGCTATGAAGATACTAATTCAGGTTAAGGCTTCTCTCCCCGTTTCTGTTCCCGTCGTGGGTCCGATGAGTCCCTTTCCTCCGGTTCCTTTCCCAGGCTTTATTTATTGGAGTAAGGATTCCTGCACGGGCAGGGGCTGTCTCCTTTCTCCTCTGCTCTTTCCCCACCGCTCCTCCTCTGCCGGCAGGTCCCGTCGGGTCTCTCTCGTACAGGGTCTCGTGCAGCGCAGGCTGGAGCGTGTACCGTCGGCCAGGTCCAGCGCGGCTCTGCTCTCTCTCTGGTGGATCTGGGAGTGTTTTCTCCACTCCACGAGATGATTTAAAAGCTGCTCCGTGTTCCTGGTGACGGTGGTTTGGGGACCTTCAGCCTCTCTGCTCCCTCCACCTGCCTGGTGCGTTGGCGACGCCATGGCTTTCGAGGTTTGGTTGGAATTTGGTTTTGGTTTAAACCCACCTCCGTTGTCCACGAAACCTGGTTTTGATGTTAGAAATCTCTCATCTTTTTGACGGTGCCGGTGTAGCTCCGGGACACGGTTTCTGTCGCTAACCCACTTCAAACCATCGCCCTTTCTGAACCGTAAATCCTGCTGTTTGCCTTTCGTAGCTGCTGTGAGCTTCTCTGAAACGTGGAAAAAAATACCCCGTTCTCTTTTGATGGCGAGTACGCCGGCTGTTCGGCTGCTGGGAGCGGGCGACGGCGTGAACTGGATGGCTAAAGCGAAAGGAAAATCGCTTTGTGCTTGGGGAAAAAAAGAGAAAAGGAGAGATAGAAGTTGTCCTCTCAGTTGCGCGTGTAATTAGTGCTTTTCACCTTCAAGAGAGTGTTACTGGAGCACGATGTTGTCCTTTCCAGAAGTGGCCAGTGGGTGACTTCAGGGACATCTGGGAGCGATGGCATTCACGGGCATCATTTGGGATTGCTGGTGTTTTCCCTGCGCCTTCAGTTTTTTTGCTCTTGATTCAGCATTTTCAGTACGCGGCTGTGGTGTCCGAAGCTTTCAGGAGTCTTGTCCCAAGAAGATTTTTTCTGTACGTACGTCCATAGTGATTTGTGTTCCTTACAGAGGCTGTTTACAAGGGAGACAGTCGAGGTCAGGAGGGGAGAGAACAAGGCTACACCTGATTTAAAGCTGCTACACGTTTTCACCCCGGTGCGCGAGGCAGGGGGAGGGCGAGGGCTGGAGGAGCGCGGCCGCGGCGGAGTCGCCGAAGAAGCCACAGTAATTTTAGCTTCGGCCACCGCGAGAGCGTTTTTTTCCATGCGAGAAAGCTCTGGCGCCAGCAGGTGAGCAGCAGGGAGCGGGGTTTGGTGCGAAGGAGCAGAAGAGGTGGGTCTGCGCTGCCGGATGCGCTGCCTCGCGGAGATTGCAGAGCTTTAGACGTTTGCACAATCTGGGTGACACCACAGGGTCAGGCTGGCCGCCGCGGGTCCTGCTCGAGGTCCTCGAACGTGGCGTCGCTCAGCCAACGAGGCGGCGGACGTCTGGGGAGGTACGAGAGAGCTCCGCGGTGGCCCCGTGCTCGGGGCGCGAGAGGCTGGGGGCGCTGCGGGGGGTGTCGGGCTGCTCTCCCTCCTGGGACGGGAGCGAAAGTCATACTTGTGCTTTTCCCAGGGGATGCTGAGCTGTATTTAATCTTGACTGTTAATCAGAAAGCTTCGTATAACGCGTCCAGAGCTCTAAAGCCATTTTGTAAGATAGCAGTATCCCTTTTCTACAGCCTTATTAATGAGTAGAGTATCTTTCAAAAGAAGAAAAAAAAAAATAGTTCATTTCTTTCTGTGGTATGAAACTTGTGTACTGCGAACATACGAACGTTTAGCAAAAACACGACTTACAGTTTTCTTAAAAAAACGACAAAAAAAAACTCCAACAAAAAAAAAAAACCCAACCCAACCTGTCTGCTTTCCATACGGTCTTT